GCTACTACGGTTGGTAGCTAAATCCCAGTACAGATAATTTAGGTGGTCTGATTCTTACATGTAGTTATTTGGTGCTATTTAGTTATTTAGGAAATGGTAATTAATCTGGTTAAGTGACATGTATGGAACTGTGCAGACTTCAGGTCAATATATATTATATTACCTTTAATCAAGCAATGTTTTTCATTCTGGGAATATTTTGGGAAAATCCTAGTTCTGATGAATTCAATATAATCTTGTTATTAACTTAAAGAAGATTGAAAGAAATAACTTCAGGAGCACACTCTTTCTCTCTGCCTTTCACAGAAAGATACACACCTTCTTAGAGATAGGCTCACAACAAAAATCACTCTAAAACTTGCTTTACATTTAGGCATATAGAGACACAAACATTAAAGATCAATATGAAAGTAATAATTCATATTCACAACTACCATGAACCTTGTAATTTGTTTCATTCTCCAGTTTGAATGTTTGCCATCATTTTGTGAGCAGAAGCAACCATTTCCATTCCTTCCATCCAATTTTTCCCACTATCAATTTGAAATATTTCCTTCTTTTCAAGATGTAGACAGGGTATCTATTTGGTTGTCTATATAATCGACAATTTTAAATAGGCTACAGATGTATGTCACAAGAGCAGACAGATGGCAGAAGCAAAGAAATTCAAGTTCTGCAATTGAATATGTAGCTTTTAACAACAAAACTTTGAATGTTTTACCATTCTGGAGTTAATCAATTTCTTAATAACTAGTGACAAAAAATTGTAATACCAGCAGCACATAAATTACCTCCTAGCAGTGTTCTGTGATATATTTTTATCCTAAATAATTTTAATTTGTGGATGTTTTGCAAAGAAAATATCAAATGAGTATCATGTAATGGTTTTCAGAGCCACAGGACTTTGGATAAAAAGCAAATTCTCCTATATGTTACTTGACGCTGCAACCTAATATTTACAGAATGCCAGCTTCCTGTTAGAACAAAACGATGACATATTCTTTGTAATCAGTCAAGTTCAGTGCAGTTATATGCAGCTTCATCCAGCTTCTGAGTCTGCAAGAAGCTGTGAGTGGCAATTTGTCTGGTTAGCTAATAGAAAAAAAAATTAAAGACTAGAGATGGATATGAATCCAAAATCAATCAACGCCTGAGGTACATGTGACAACACAGGCAAAGATTTAAACAAATGTCATGTTCCAGGACTGATAAAAACCCCAAAGTTCCGTAGCTGATTTCTGCCCGCCAGAAGTGTCCCTGCCTATGTGGGATGGAGCAGACCTCTTTCAGGAGCTGTGAGCTGCCACAGCCTAGAGAAGGGTGACACCGAAGGGTGCAACATGGGGGTAACTGCACCTTGGGATGGTTACACATCCTCAGGGATGATTGCTCGATAGCACGTGCATCGTTGGGTAGTAGTCAATATCGTGTTGCTAATAAATCAGTAAATCACTTTGATGGTTATTTTATTTAAACTGTTTAGTTTTTTCCCTGAAACAGTGTCACCCTTTATCTCTGTGCAGTGATGTATAGGAATTGACAATGACACTGATTCTACATTACTGTTATGGAAAATTCCACATTCTGTAAACTGCCAAAAAAGTTTCTTAAACTGATCAAATTATAAGGTTTTCTGGAATCTCCGTGAGTGGATTTGCAAGAGAAATCTGTATCAGATTGATGTTGAAACTCACTGCAGTTTAGTGCTTGCAAGAGACAGAAAAACTGGGACCAAGGCCCAAGGAACAGAGAATGCAAAATATTAGATTTGTTTCCAGGCATGTGAAAGGCAAGAAGATGGTCAGGAACAGTCAATTCATATTACTAAGGTGACATCATGCCTGATTGTCTTTTACAGTGATCTATCAAGGCCATATGGATGGTAGGACAGTGGATGTGATATATCTTCAATTCTGAGGTATTTTCACAATCCTTACCACGGAACTCTCTTGAAAACCAAGGATTTATGAGTTGTATCAGTGTACTGTCAGATGGGATGAAAATTGTTTGAACTGGCAGCCTCAAGGATTAATATTCCATGGTTTGACATCCATTTGGTAACTGGTAACAAGCAGAGTAGCCCAAAATCAAGGCCTGGGCTAATATTATTCAGTATATGGCAACCAAAATAACAATATGCACAGTAAACCTATGGATGATGACAGATATGAATGGTATCACACTGAGGAGAACATGCCTATCTGCTGGCCACCAGACTACTTTTCTCATAAGGTAAATCTGATGTCAAGTTTTGGAAGTCCTGGAGGTATCAGGAAGGGTATGAAGGAAATTTAAGAACATAAAGCCTACTGGCATGGTTTTGGAAGACTCTAAATGACAGAAGAGAGTTGAGAGGCTCTTTTATCCCAACCTTTGAGAACATTTGCTGGACTAAAATTTCCCTAAAAGTCAACATACATGGTTTGTTCCTTTGTTTTTTGGTTTGTTGTTGTTGTTGTTGTTTTTGTTGCTGTTGGGGTTTTTTTTTGTTAATAAGTTAATACTTATTTGGAATGGAAGGCCAGGGAACCAGAATCCAATAATTAATTAAAACACTAAATTTTAAGAAATAGTGTCTCAGTTTCCTCTCTCCTGGATTGCAGTAGACTCAATCCTGATTCAAACACAGAAGAGTGAAGACCACAGTCAGGGATGACATAAAGCTCATGTAAAGGCTCGTGCGAGGTCAGATTTCTTTATATTGAAAATTTCTAGGCATCCTACTGTAGTTACACTGAAACACTTTGATCCTGTACATTTCTCTCAATCCCTTTTCCCCTTTCTCCTTAGCTTTCTCCATTCTTTTTCCTTGACCTAGTTTATATGACAACAGTCACACTAGAACCCTACAGGGCTCAAAAAGTTTTCCCCCTCCTTTTACCGTCACAAAGAGGAAGATTGCCCAGGATGAGCTCTGTTCTCACAGAGCTCTGGCTATACCTTTGGAAAGGATGCTGACAATTCCCTTCTGCAAAGAGCAAACATACATAACAGCATAACAGTATATGGTTTCTGAATGTAGTGTAAAAAAAATGTGCCCATTTTGTGTCCTTTGTAGTATCTTATTATAATATGTAAATGTAATTTGTACTCTCTGACTTCTCAGTGAAATATATGGAAGTACACAAAAAGCAACACTGCTGTAGTAAAACAACTCACCAGTTTAACCAACGGCCTCATCAAGCAGTGCAAAATTATTTTAATCCATTCCGTGAAGTTATTTTCCTTTAGGAACAAGTACTCTTCAGAAGTTACACTATATTTTCTGACAGTGAATTCCAGCAACTCACTGCCAATTACTGCAAATACTTTTGTTGACCTACTTGGCAAGCCACTAGAGATCAAACTACACTTACAGCAAACTAGTCATAAAAAAAGGTTATTCTTCTCTTATCCTCCTTCTCAAACTCTAGCTCCTCTGCTAGCTAAATTGATGTTTACTTGGGTTGCATTAGGTTTACCTTAAGCAAATCCCTTTTTTCCACTGTCTGACAATCCTCAATCGGACTTGGTTGTTCTTTCTTTTGCGCCACCAAAGTGATTAGAAACATAAACATTTTGCAAGGACATTGTCCTTCAGAGCAGACTAAAATGTCACAAAGGAGTTTACAGTTCCATTTTGTTGTCTTTTGTTGTTATTTAGATAATATTTTGTGTCATTTTAGCAGTAGTCTTAAAGTGACAGGATTAAAACAAATTTCTAACCGTTCAATCAGTAGAACAAAAATTAGCTTTTTATTCATCTGGGTTTAAATCTGTTCATAGTCTTTATATTTTTCTTAGAGTTTGGGGTTTTGTTGTGTTTTGTTGGATTTTTTTTTCCTGGAGTATTATAGCTGTCAAATATTTTTTCTGGAAAAAAATATTCATAAAAATACTAAGTATTTTTGAGCAAATTTTTAACAACCAGTAAGAGTAGTCATAATATAACAAAATATTAAATAGAAGAAAAACCTACTCCTATGCCAAATGCATTCTCTAGATCTCATTTCAGATAGAATTTTCTTTTTGGAAACTGCCTTTTTGTGAAACAAGTAAAATATCATAGACAAGAGATGTGTGTTACAGTTGTTCAAGCTCCGCTACAAATTTGATCTTAATTACTCATATAGTACAGATTAATTTTTCCAATTGAATGGTTGACCCAGAATAAATAAAAAAATGCAAAAAACAAATATCGGATATAAATATATATTATATATTTAAATAAACTGATAACAGTTGCAATATAGGCATGTTCTTAGAAAGCAAATCAGAAAGTAAAAACAATCATTGGAATTAAAAAAACCCATCCACTCCAGTTTAATTACAAATAAAAAATATTTTTCTTATTTTAAATGCTGCTATTATTTTCATATTCCAGTGATAAATTCTACATTTGAAAATTCAGGGCTAGCAATTGAGATTGGGTAAATATGTTAGAAAATGGAGAGATTAAGTTAGAAAAAGGAAAGATCTATTGTGACATTGCCGAGAAACTGTTTTATAAGACAAATGTTTCAGTGTTAATATCTTCTATTTGCTATCTTCACAGTAAAACAATAAACCATGGCAAATCTGAAAATCTGGGACAACCATTTCAGCCCCATTTGTAAAAAATGATACCAGAATTTAATGCTGCTTTTTCTTTGTAGGATTCAGATTTACTTCACGTACCTTTCTGTACCTAAAGGTACAGAACTGGGTACTGGATGTGATTTTACCTTTAATTATATCTTAACTTTAATTATATAAATATGAGGTCTCTAATATGAACTGAACATTTGTGTTTCCTTCAAAAAATCTCTACATACCACGCCTATAAAGCAATGTGCGTTATCCTAGCTAGAGATCCCATAACAAAGCCTAGAATCTAAGTTAGACTATTGAAGAGTAATCTGCTTGTGTCTACCTGGATCCTTACTGCCTTTGCTTGTCTGCACCCAAAGGAGTAAAGGAAAAACCTCACCCTTACTAAATAGCATCCGAAGGCTTGTTAGAAATTTTGTAGTACCTAAAATGACTGTAAAGGTGTAGGCCAGTGAAATGAATCCTGTTAAATATACAGTGTGTCATAAAGATAAAAATTAATGTCTTATCCTATGGACTGTTTCTACAACAAAAGAAAACTCACTTCTGAATGTGAATTCATTCTGTCCTAAGATGACTCAGCTTGTACAGTCCAGCATTTTGTGATGGCATAAATAATTTTGTGTAAGTGCCTAGAACTGAAGGGACTCCTACAACTAACTTGAAGTAAGCATGCAATTTGGGTTCATTTTGTAGGCTGTGATGCAAAATTATGACAAAATTGCTTTCGCTTTTGATACTCTAATACAAGTCCATAACATGGTATAGGATTAAGAGTGGCTAGTTGCCTATATAAAATAAGCTGTATGTAATATTATATGTGTTTTGTTTTTGCAGTGCTCTTAGCAAGTCACAGTTCAAGAGACTTACCCTAGGGTGAGGAGGAGGAGGGGTCATTTTTTTCTAAGTGTGATCTTAAAGGACAAACAAAAAAATACACTTTGTATTTACATAACATATATGTACGATTTTTAAAATATTTAAGAACAGAAAAAATATTATCTGAGTGGGAGCAGAGACTGAGTTCACTGGGGTAGAAATCTAAGCTGAAATGCTGTTCTTGAAAGAAAGGAGAATTAGTATTCAAGACCTTTATTACTCTCTTTCTTTTAATAATATGTTTTATTCTTTCAGTGGGAATGGTGGTGAATATCTTTATAGCAATGTTTATAAATATGATTTGATAATTAAAAAAATAAAATCTACTTTATTACATTCGCTAAAAATAATTTGTGGAATACAAACAAATGTACAAATGCTGGTATTAAAAGCATCTGCTTCTCTTTTAACTGCAATTTCCGAAATCCCTTGGAATATATTAAGTCAGTTTTCTCCATTTTGCTGCAACGGAGAGACAGTCACTATTAACTTGCTACTATCTAGAACATACCTTAAAAGAAAGAAATTACTAAAGTGGAGTAATTGCTAGCTTTCTGTAGTATTTCTAAATTAGCTGCATATAACATAAATTCCTGAGATTGAAATTATAAAGCTATTTCTTCATTCTCAAAAGGAAAATCTTGTAGGCAGCTGAAAGCTCTCTTTTCAGGCAGACTTAAAACTTCCGAAGAGAAACATATTGATTTGAAAAATGAGGTAAATATTTTTCTTGTTTTAAAGAAAATGAGAAATATTTAAATACATACACACGATCAGTTGTTCACTGAAGCCTTTGCACATGTATAATTTAGCAAAATGGCTGCATATCTCTTTTTGAGAGGATGCAGAAAAAGATTTTTCTATTGTAAAAATCCCTTTACTTCCTCTCGTCCCGGAGAGATATTGAATCATAATGGATTTCTTTTGTGAAAATAATCATGGTTGAATTTGGGAGGCAGGAAGCATTGTTTGTAAACCTCGGTTGCTGCGTGTGTCACTTTCTTGTGACTAGTATAACAGTAGTGGGATGTCTTCTGCAAGTATTAGCTGCTCTGAGGGGAAAACATGCATACAGGTGTAGACTTAGTAAGCGGATGTCATATTATATTTTTTCTTCTTTTGCACTCTTCAATCATACATATCATTGAGTCCAAAATTGAAAAAAGAAACCTAATATGCTGAAACTGGTGAAACGCTTTGTAATCAAATGGAACAAAACAGGAAAATTATGATATAATTATTGATAGCATAACAAAGGTGAGACATCCTTGTTCCCAAGGGATACAGAGTTTTTCGTAGTCTGACATAATAAAGCAATGGAGTGGAAGTAACAAGATTCACAGATGCTAGGTAGGGTTTCAATAGCCTGGAGGCCCCTCGTGGCTGAAGATTTGTCAGCATTATCTGAATACCAGTGATTTGTGAAATAACCAAGTTAATTCTCCACTCAAGCATTTGCTTTTTAAGGCAAAGTTTGCTTCCTAAAGGAAGCAAGGAGCAAGGTGAATATTTTTTTTTCTTTTTTTCACCTTAAGTTTAATGGTTTTATAGATATGGTATGGCAGAGACAGTAATATCCCCTTTTACTGCCCATCACACTTTTCTGCCTGCATCATATTGTTATTACTGCCAAATACTAACAATACTAAGTTCATATACTACTACTGTCTTGATCAATATTGATTACTACAAAAAAAGAGGCACTGAATCTGTTGAAAGAAACCCTTGATTGTTTATTATACATTCTAATTTGTACAACTCCTAAGCACAGAAAGTTCAGTGAAAACAAGGTGAAACATAACTAGCTAAGAAAGTTTCTCTCTTAAATTGGAAAAGGGGAGAGGAGAGTGGATGAAAGCAGGAAAGAGGATGCCATTTTTTCTATCAAGTATTGCGATTTTGAAATAACTCTTAAATCATTGAAGTGAAATTATAACAAAACTGTAGACCATGCTGCATGTCTGAAACAATTGACTAATTTCAGTATATGTAATGTATAGCCTCACCAAGGAGGCTGGGGTCTTTTCCTCAATCTCTTTCTCCACTACTAGAAAATCAAAATAGGGGCCAAACCCAGAAATTCTGACTTGACAAAATAAATATAATAGAAGTGCTTAGAATATTGTCTCTCTTAAGTACATAATATTTTGTCTAAGCAAATATTGTACATAAATATATAAGTTTGCATTTTGTTCTCAAATTTGCATGTGTATGTTAAAAGTTTTATCGTAAGATATGTGAATTAATAATATATTCTTAAAAATTTTGAAAAATTGTATATAATTACACAAAATCTGATAATTATAGTTATAAACTATATGTCCTTGAATCTCCAGGATTTCTCTATGGAATAAGATTGCTACATTGATGTGTTAACCATTGCTGCTGAAGAAAAACTGGCAAATATATCTAGTCAGACAAGTTTTAAACATAATCTTTCTCTAAAAAAATTATTCTTTTATCTGTTTGTTTTGTCTTTGAGAGCATTCCATATAGCAAATTGCAGTGTAAAGAGAGAGAAAACTTTTTATGTATTCCTTTTACAAAGAAAATCATGGGTATTTTAGTTTCCAAACTCTGAAGTAAATATTTAGATCTAATTTTTCACAGGTAGATAGTTAATTACCACAGATTAAATGAGTTAGTGGGGAATGAATGTAAAATTATAGCTGTGTAACATTTGGTATGCAAAATTCTGTAGGGACCTACTTCTGAATATTACATAAATGTTTTCAATTCAGGCACATTTAAATTATTTCAATTTAAGATATTCTATTAAACTTAACAGCTGCATCATTTCTGGAATGAGTCTCTACAGGCTCATCAGTCTGAATAAAAAATTCAGATGACCATTAATTATCTTGAATAAAAACCTGGCAGTCCCCTTTTTTACTCACAGTGAGACAGAACAGCTATATTTGATTAATGACAAACTACAAGACACAAATACTATGTCATCATAACAAAGATATGCTTCTTGACTATCTATAGTAAGTAAATTTAAAAAAATGACTAGTTCTTCCGTAGAATCCAATTTTACATTTTCAGTTTGGAAGATCTTGAAGCATTCCTTGATTAAGTCTGAAGAAGGTCTTTGGTTTTCTAATGGGAATGTACTTGAAACATGTGGGATCCAGAAACATTGTGTTGTAGTCATCATAACAGTGAGAGGAACCTTCAGATTAGAGCTCAGCACTTCCTAGCTGACTGCAACCTAGGAACCCACTAAGAAGATGCAAAATTCACATCTTATTTTAGTGTCATGGTAATTTAGAAAATAAAGGAAGAGCATTGTCTAGTTTTTTGCTAGTTTTATCTGCCTTTTTGTACCTGCATTTGTATGCCATTCTTCAGGTATGTTTAGAGCTTGCTTAAAACCTGAGTGTCATTTTAATTCAAAAAAATCCCAAAAAGCTTCACTTCTGCTTCCCACTATTAAAAATATTTCATTAGTGTTTTCATACTCTTAGTAGGTAATGTTCCAGGACTTGCTTTAAAGGGTACAGGACAAATAGGGAAACTGTTTGAACTTTTTAATGTTGAGAACTCACTTCTCACTCTAGTCTCCTTAACTGGTAAAATTTTAGCTTATACTATGCTTGTTTTTTACATCATGAAGGGCATGTCACCCAAAGAAGTTTACAAAAAAGAAAAAAAAATGTTGAAATTTAAATGAATAAAAATGACTAAAAAGTACCACTGTAAAAAAGCTATCACTGTTATGTATGATTATAGACATCTCTGTCCAATACAAAACTTCTATAGAGGAAAACAATCCAAACTAGTGTATGCAAAAAGCAGTCAGTGCTGTCTGGCCTTGGGGACAAGGTCCTGGACTGCTTTAGTTTGGTAGTATTAACATAATATATATGGTCATCTGTGTGTGAATTAGAAATTATTGGTATTGAAGGTGATTTTAACTACATTTTTGCTGTTGGGATGCCTAAATTACACCTAATTCCTATTTCAGATGGCATTGTGGTGGCCTGAATCTCACCTCAGGCCAAAACAAGAATCATGCCATGTGTCTTTTGTTAACAGAATGATCTTATGTCTTGTCCTGAAAGGCAAATTTTATTTCATCGTAGTAAATGTTCCTGTCTGAAGGGTATCCTTTATTAGTTTTGTAATGAGATAGCAGTCTCTGCACTCCCTATATTTCCTATGAATTTGGCATATAGTAAATAGATTGTTTAGAATCAACCATATTCATTAGTTTTCAAAAAGCTGTTTTCTTTTAAAGTTGATTATCAGAATAATTAGCACAAAGAATAAAATAATTATGAAAAATACTATATAATATTTCTCTATAACATCTACTAAATTATATTCCCTCCATAGTAATACAAAAGAAAACAAAGAAGAGAGAGATTCAAGTCTTGTTCCCAGAATAATTCTCTACATTTAGAGGTTTGGAGTTTTTATAGTTCTCTTTTTTTTTTTCCTTTTTATTTCTTTTTCTTTTCTGAAATAACAGCCATTTTCTGAAAATTTGGCTCAGGGATGTTTTAAGATCAAGAAGCTACCAAAAAAAAAAAAAAAAAAGAAGTTATCTTTTTATAGATGTTAACAAGAAAACACTCAAAACATCCAAGAAAATATCTATAAATTGTATGATAAAACACACACCACACCCCTTGAAAAAGTTATTAAAACCTTGAAAATTTGTGAACTATTGTAGAAATACAATAGCCATACACTCCTTG